TTGGGTGTTCCCCTTTTAGGGCAATCAAGCACCAATAATAATAATACCATATGGTTTAGGATCTAAGCACAAACCTACCTTGATTTACCTTAAAATTTCCTGGAAAAGTTTATTCTAGCTTCTCATAGAACTTTCTAATTCCTCCTTAACTCTTCCCACTACACTAATGTTTCTATTTCCATGTTATTTTATACAATTACTAGCTCATTCCTTTCTTTGCCATTCAGAGTCTTCTGAATGAGCTCATCTCCACTGAAAGCAGCTTAAATTTTGAAATAGTTACTGAATAACTTATGTTGAATGCATTATGTACTTGCAGACAGTGGTAGTCTCATATTTGTCATAATCACATTTTCATGTGATAATGTATTATACATCAATAGTCTGTTGGCAGTGCATTTAGTTCTAGTGTGGGAAAGTTGTAGGCATGGATCAGGTTCATTTTTTATTTTTCTGCTAAGGTGGATTGTGATGGCGATATTCAGTATAGAATCATATACCTTACTCTATTAAATTGTCACTATAAGTGCAAAAGTAAAATTGAACTTTCCAAACAGAATAAGAACATTTTTATTTTTTAAAAGTGTTTTTCTGTGTGTTTTGTTTGCTTTTGTTTTCATTTTTAATAATGGGCTTGATAACTTTTAAAATATGATCTTGTTAAATAAGACAAGTTGAGATTTGAGTGACAGCAATTGAAAGATGACATGGACCTTTATTGAGTGTGAGTCAAACAAGAGTTGGGCTTTTTCTTTCTTTTTGTTTATTTTTAATATATTTTTAAAAGCTTCCCTAATTTTCCAAAACTTTGCACACCAAAGTTTAATGATCACTGTTTTTCTGAAATGACTTCTAGAATAAGTCATAAAAACTGAGCATAATTAGGAAACTATCTTGGAAGAGTTGAAAAAACCAAATATGCTAAAAATCTGTGATTATGTATGACTATAGACGTAATAAAATAATTTAGTAAAGCCCTTAAAAAATGAAGAGGTCTTTCAGAAAGTATGTGGAAGAATGGTGAACTTCACAAAACTGAAAGGTCAATATTCTATTTAAATATTTTTGAAGAAATAGAAGAGTCCCAGGCAATTTCAAATTGTGTTTAATTTCCATTGCTGAAAAAAAGTACACAGCACTGGGAATAGCCTCATAATGTTGGTTTGGTAAGTGAGCAACTGTTCTTCAACCTACTTAGGCAGAGCAAAAGGAAATGGGCTGAAACTAGAGCATGAGGGATTTAGGTTAGAATGTAAGTATTTTACAACTAGGAGGAATATTGGAACCACTTCCTAAGAAGCATTATGCAACCTCTTTCTCGAGCATTCTTTAAAAATAGGGTCGACTTTCATGTCTGCTTTAAATCTGGTACTGCCCAAAGGTGAAGGAAAACCAACTGCTTTGTTTCATGCCTCTTGTATAATTTTGAAGACCTTTTAAAGTCTATTTCCTCATTCCAAATATTGGAAGCCAAGGATTTGTGTTCTAATACAGCATCATGCATTTTTATTTTTTTTATTTTTTTTTTATATAATACTGGAAGTCCTAGCCAGAGCAATAAGACAAGAGAAAGACATCCAAGGAATCCAAATAGGAAAAGAAGAAGTCAAACTATCACTATTTGCAGATGATATGATAATATACATAGAGAACCCCAAAAACTCCACAGAAAAACTAATTCAACTCATCAATCAGTTCAGTAAAGTGGCAGGATACAAAATCAACACACAAAAGTCAGTAGCCTTCCTATACACAAACAATAAATCTGAAGAAGAAATAAAAAAAAAATCCCTTTATTATTGAAACAAAAGCATCATGCATTTTTAAAATAGTCTTTCAGAAATGTGTCTAACTTTGCTTTTTTATTCATTTCCATGGGATAAAAGAATTGCTAAGCACATTCACTCTAGCACCACCTCCTTTTTTTTTTTTTTTTTTTGTTTGGTACACTGTGTTTTTGGTCACATGTATATACAGCAAAGTTCAAATAAGTAGTCTCAGGAACCTTTTCTGGCAAACTTTGACAAATCAAGTTTATGCTTTATAATGTATAATAATTACACGTGGAGAAAAGAGGCAGAGGGCCCAGAGGTCTTGGCAGCTGTACTGTCTGGTTAGCAAAGGAAGCAAGTTACAAAGTTTGGACATTCAGTTCTGAGACATTATTCCTGAGTCAACAAGATTTTAATTATGTATGTGGCTTAGAAGAGACATTTACGCAAGAGGAACATACTGTTGTCGAATGTGTTTGTGATTTTGCTCATGGTTCAGAATTGGAAAGAAGCCCAAAGTCATTTCTGAAGGTACATAACTGAATTGAGGGAACATAGAATAATGATACCTCTCTCAGGGGCAGGAAAATAACCAATATCCCAGGCTCTCCCTTCCCACTTCCTTGCTGAACATAAACCTTTTTTCTTTTATAGTTTTCTTTTTTTGCCAAATATATATTTAAAAAGATACTGTATTTAAATAATAGTATTTCTATTATTAAAATATGTATTACACATTAGATACATTCACACGATATTAATAGATTTCAAATCACATATTTGGGCAGAAATAAGGGGTATGTTAAGTATAACTATCTTTGAACATATTTTTCTCATAGCATGATATTGAGGTCATTTAGAGTTTTCATTTATAAATTAGTTGTGTTCTTGTGCTCCTTTCATCCTGTCTTGGGAAAAATTTAAAATTTACTGCACTGAACTGAGATGCTATGTGAGGAATAGAAAGAATTTTCTGCATTTATGGGGAGATTAGAAGGGATCAAGGAGCACACAGAAGCCAAAAATTTGGCTTTTCTGAAAGTAAGCTTTTCTTCATGTGACCCCCATTTATTGATTCATTAAGTGATTGATTTACCACTTATTGAAAACCTACAATGTGTCAATCCTATCATTTAAGTCGAAGCAATAAACCTGTGATTATTCTTGTTTTGTTTTAAATTATCTTCCCAAATTACCTTTGTTGAATTTAACTTCTCCCCACCCATTCATGTGTGCAACAAATAAAGACATTTACTGCTTTTAATAGCTACAGTTATTGAGCACTTACCAGACATTTTCCTGCGGGCTTTTTATAAATTATCTTAGTTAGTTTTTACAGCAAGCAATCTTATAAGTTAGGTCTTATTAACAACTTCATTTAAATAGGAAGGAATTAAGCACAAGGAGGAAAATCTTGCATGAGGTCACATACCTAATGAGTGGAACAGACCCCAGGCTGTGTAAGTCTAAGCCTTTTTCTTAATTCCACATTGTACCACCTCCCAGAATTATTTAGTCTCTGGTTTTTTGACTCAGAGACTTTCTATAGACACAGATCCTTGAGGTCACCTCCATGGTACATTAGATAATGATTTTTTATTTTATTTTCAACTTTTACCTCCTTGAAAATCCATCTGTAGCTGTTTTTAAGAAAACAATAAGCTGTGGAGTCTCTTTTAAAGCCTTATAATGTGACCAAATTGATGTGGTCTATTTGTAAATGTTCATGTAAAATAAATTTGAGGGTAAAGTGACTTTTCCCTCAAATATCCACATAGAGTAAAACAATCCTTTGTGGTTTGAGTAACTGAAAATAATAAAAGCCCTAGGAGATTTCTTGGTAAAAGGAAGAAAAGCAGAATGTACCTAAGTGTGTACAGTGTGTACAGTATTGGTTTTCTCCAACTTAGTAAGAGATTGCAAAACAGTCTTCAACAAACCTAGAAATGGCAACTATGATTTTATATAAGCATGAGAACTTGAATCATATTTCTTTAATGCCATATCATTCAGTTATACCTTCTAAAAAAAAAAAACTTCCTTTTATGATGAGCCAGATGTGCCACAGCAATGTATCATCTAAGAATAATTAAAGTTTTAGGGTATCCCCCTTTGGAATCTTATTTGCAGCTGACAAATTTTGAAGATTCCCCAAGGGTAACTATTTGGTAGATGTCATGTTCCTTTTAATGTGAGGCTTGCAAAAAGCAAATGATCACTTTGTTAGAACCTCAGGGCTCATACTTGACTTTGCTCTGAGTTAGCATCTAAAATGACTGGGGATATTTAAAAACCAGGTTCTCCCCTTTGTATCCTGGCTACACCACTTGCTAGAGAGTTATGTGTTCTTGGACAAGTATCTTGGGTTTTGCTTCTATAGGATAGGAATAGCTACAGTATTTACCTCATCAACTTGTTATAAAATAAGATAATATACCTAAAGCATGTGGCAAAGTGCCAGACCCATAACAGACACCCAGTAAATGTTAATTTTGTCCATCCATGAAATTGAAGGTGACTTATGTCCTCTGTTTTTTTACTCAGCCTTCATAGAATAGTTTGATATTCACAATGTAATTTCCATCTTCGTAAGACTAGAGACCTCTAGTGTTTTCATTATTTTTAGTTGCTCAAGACACCAGTCATTTTCTCTTTTCCTCATAAAACGTCTTGTGACAATGAAATACCTTAGAATTTACTTTGGAAGGAATGACCTGGGGCAACTGTTCATCCTCTGTGTCCACTTCAATCCTTAGTTCTCCCAAAGGATGCTAATGGCCTGATATACTATCTGGGTTTTCTTATCATCAGCATAATTCTGCCTTGACTTATTTCCAGTAATGAGGTTGCACATTTAAACCTGTAAATGGCTGAACTCTGTGAAATTGCTGATATTTGATGATTTTGACCTACTAAAATGACAGCGTCAAATGGTTTAAACTAATATTCAAGATAGTGACTGCAAATGCCGTTTGTGTCCCCCTTGTTCAGGTATCCCCTCCTAACTATACCTAAAGGAGGGCAATTGGTGTGTAGAGATTGATTTTCTCTTTGTATATTCACCAAACAAATATTAATGGAAAGCTTTTTATAGGCCTCACACATGATAGCCACTATAATTTACCTGTAAAATATGACCTTACTCACTCTCATTCTAACAGTAGAATACTTGCTATAAAAAGTTTGTAGAAGATAAGTCAAAAAGTGACATCTGAATTTTTCTTTCAGACCCTGGGTGGCACCATCTCTGCTGCTTTTGGAATTTCCAGATGTCTGTGCCAGCAGTTTCCACCCCCTCTGAGATTTCCAGGGAGCTGAAGTTGGAATCAGAAGCTAGTTGGAGGCCTCTGGAAGTGAGCTCTGTACTGGCTTTGGAATGAGGGGGTGGTTCTGAAGAGTTCTTAGCACTTGCTTCATACTGGACCAGGTATTCAGAGAAGCTGACCCGAAGGGAGTTACAAGCAGGTGGTTAATTAAAAATTTGCTCACTCATCTCTTCATTCACTCAACACATCTCTATGGAGTTCTCCCTAAATCTGCCCAGTTCACTGTGCTATTTTGGGAAAGCAGCAGTGGACAGGATGACACCCTTGCATGCCCTCTACAGCTAAGAGTCTAGCTGGGAGGCAGAAGTCAACTGAACTTACAGCTGGGTGTGGTGAGGAGCAGGGTAGGCAAGACCATGACACTGAGTGAAGAAAACCAGGGGGAGGTGGGAGACAAAGGGCATGATGGGAACTGTATCTTCAAAATTCCTTGCTCTGGGTGAAAATTTGTAAGGGGTTTCCTCCAACTTAGCATGGATTTGGGGACCAGTCCAGTAACGCTTTTCTCAAAGGTTTAGTCTTATTAGAAGTATCTGTCTCTTTCTGTCCCTGGAAGCTGCATTGTGGTATTTGGGATTTTAAAATACTTATCTCTCAACACCAATTTGTGAACTCTGTAGACAGTACCAAGAAAAAGTACCAGTGGAACTCATTTTAATTCACTCAATATGCAAAAATATAAATTTAGAAATAAGATATGTTGAGGGGCAATACACAGTTCTGTTTCAAAAATAGTCCTCCTGATGTCTTCAGCTTCCTGATGTCTTCAGCTGTCAATTTGATGGACAAGTAGAAGACCCCTGTATAAAGGAATTAATATTCACACCATGGAAAGAGTCTCTAGTTTCACAGATGGAGTCACCACAAAGTTTCTTTAATAATCACTCTTTCAGTAATTTAGGTCTAACCTTATTTTCAAAAGCTAAATTTACAGGTAATCTAAAAATCCACCAAATGCCCAAAACCTGATTCTGCATGTATCTTCATATAATTCTTAAAATTTTAAAGTAAGTTAATAGAAATCCTTCATGGTGAAAACCAGACTTTTTATCCTAGATTCTGTATTCTGTTAAATATCATTTTCCTTTCTTAAAAAAAAATAGTGGTTGGAGGATGGAAAGCCAAAGAAAGGAGGCAGTGATTTTTAAGTTTGAAATGTTGTGAAAAATGTTATTTAAAAATAAAAAATGGGTTACATTAATATTCTAATTTTTAAAAGCTAATATTCTCCAGAATATAACAATAATGATCATAATTAAAGTCAAAGATAGAGTGCTTTAATTAGCACTCAATTATCTCCTTCAGTTATTTCAAATAGATAAGTTATAACATTTTATTGTCTTTAATAGAAATATGAAATTATTTAAAGGACCAGGTAAAAGAGTGTTTCTCAACCTCCAGGTCATGACCCACTAATAAGTAGGGAAATTATAAAGTGAGTCATGGTGAAACAGAGTTGAAAATACTCCTGGGTAATACACTTTGTAAGTGTGGAGTTTGTTTCATGAAAAATGTGTATTTCATACATATACCTTTATTACATATACATGTATATAAATAGCAGAAAACTATACATGTGATTATACTGAATACAAAATTTAAATGTATTTCTTACTGTTGAATGCAGACCAGAGGTCAAGAAATCCTAAGATGGAGACAAAACATAGCTAACATCATACTCAATGGAGAAAAACTGAAAGCATTTCTCCTAAGATAGGAACAAGACAAGGATACCCAATATTCACCACTACTGTTCAGTAGAGTATTAGAAATCCTTACTGGAATAACTAGGCAAGAAAAATGACATAAAATGAATCCCAATTGGGAAAGGAAAACTATTACTATTTGCAGATGATATGACAATATACACAGAAATACAAAAGACACTATTAAAAAACTAGAAATAATGAATACAGTAAAATGGCAGGATATAAAATCAATACACAAAAAATCAGTTGCATTTCCATGTGCAAACAATAAATTAGGAGAGAACAATTTTTTAAATACCTATTTACAATCACACCAAAAAGAATGAAATACCTGGGAGTAAACCTAGGAAATAAACTAACAAAGGAGGTGAAGGACCCATATATTGAAAACTATAAAACGCTGTTGAAGAAGATAAGACACTCACGCACACAAACAAACAAATGGGAAGATATCCCAAATTCATGAAATGGAAGAATAAACATTGTTAAAATGACCATATTACCTAAAGCAATGTACAGGTTCAGCACAATACCTATCAGAATCCCAATGACTCTTCTCAAGGAAACAGAACAAGCAATTATAAAATTTGTATGGAACCACAAAGGGCCCTGAATAGCCTGGAAGAAAAGAAGAAAAATGAGGGAATACACCCGCTGGCTTCAGATCATAGTATACAGTGACAGTAATCAAAACAGTATGGTTTTGGGACAAAAGCAGAAATGCAGACCAATGGAATAGAATAGAGAACCCAGAAATCCATCACTACATGGACAGTTAATTTTTGACAAAGGAGCCACAGTCATACAAAGGATAAAGGAAAAACTGCTGTAACAAATGGTCTTGGACAACTTGAATAGCCAAATGCAAAAATGAAACTAGGAGCATCCTCAGTTGCACAAGGGGTTAAGCACAACACTGTGAGGCTATCCCCAGCCACTGCAGCATGAGTTCGATCCCTGTCGGCCAGGGAGCTGACTCACATGGAGCTGCAGACCTCTCCTGTCTTGCCCGCTGCTCCCCTCAGCACTATATTTCAGTCAATCCGCCTATTCTATTCCCCACTCTGTCTCTGGTGAATCCTCTCACCACCCCCATCTCTGGCCTGTACCCCAGTTCTTGTATGCATAAATAAATCTTTTTTAAAAATGAAACTGGATCATTAGCATGCAAAAATTAATTCAAAATGGACTAAAGGCTAGGAGTAAGATGTAAAACCATAAAATACTTAAAAGAAAACATAGGTGATATGCTACTGGACATAACTCAGAGCTCTATTTGGGGCACACAAGCCCAACAATGAGGGAAGCAGAAGCAAAAATAAACAAGTGCGACTACATCAAACTAAAAGTTCTTGGGGCCTCATTGGTGGCTCAGGGGTTAAAGTCAGCACTATCAAGCTATCGGCAGCCACTGCAGCACAAGTTCGATCCCTGGCCAGGTTGCTGACTACATGGAACAGCAGACCTCTCCTGTCTCACCTGTTGCTCCCCTCAGCAGTGTATTGATCCTCCTGTTCTTTTCCCCACTCTGTCTCTAGTGAATCCTTTCACCCACCCCGTTCCTCTGGCCTGCACCGCAGTTCTTGTATGCATAAATAAATTTTAAAAACAAGTAAGTAAAGTTCTTGTACCTCAAAAGGAACCATCACAAAAGCAAAAAGACAACCTGTGGACTAGGAGAAGTTACTTGCACATCACATGTCTGACAAAGGGGTTAATTTTCAAAATACATGACATTCTAATACAGCTCAACAAAAACACGAAAAACCTAATCAAAAAATGGGCCAAAGACCTAAATCGTTCTCCAAAGGGGACATTCAGATGGCCTACAGGCACGTGAAAAATGTTCAACATCACTTATATTACAGGAAATGCAAATCAAAACCACAATGAGATATCACCTCACCCCTGCGAGACTGGCCATGGCAAAAAGAATGGAAACCACAAATGGTGGCAAATATGTGAAGAAAAAGGAGCGCTCATCCCTGTTGGTGGGAATGTAATCTAGTGCAACCTCTATGGGAAAGAGTATGGCGGTACCTGAAAAGAAGAGGGAAATACCACATGATCTAGCATATACCACTGCTGGGTATTAACCTGAAGAATAGGAAAACGTTAATAAAAGATCTGTGATCTCAATTGTTCACAGCAGCATTACCCATAATAGCCAAGTCAGGGAACCAACCACAGGTGAATGATGAAGAAACTATGGAATATACACTCAATGGACTACTACTTAGCTATTAAAAGCGATGAAACAGTGCCTTTTGACACAAAATGGATGGATCTTGAGGTGATTATGCTAATGAAATAAGCCAGAAAGTGAAAGATATACCAGATGGTTTCACTCAGTTGTGGAATATAAATAACCAAAAAAAAACTGGCAAATCACAGCAAAAAAGAAAAAAAAATCTTAAAACTCTGAAAAATGTACTGGTTACCACAAGGAAGAGGGGCTAAGGGAAGGAAAAGGAAAGGACATCAGCCCAGGAGATTCGGTGGTGAGTGAAATGTTGTACATATGGAGGTCTAAAAATGTACCCCTACAGGATCATGCTCAGCGAAATAAGCCAGAAAGAAAAAGAAAAATACCGGATGGTCTCACTCATAGCAGGAATCTAGAAAACTTAAATAAGGGACCAGGAAAATGAATAACTATAAGAAAATAAAAATCAAAATCAACAAACAACAATGAACCAGAGACACTCTATGGGGGGGTGTGGGGCAGGGAGGGATTGGGGTCAAAATAAGGGGGTTGCAATTGTATGGGGAATATAAAAATAAAATTTATTTTAAAAAATGTGCCCCTACAGTTATATAGATATAGAAGTGACTGAAAAATTAATAAAACTTGAGGGGGGAAATCCTAACATGGAGAATATTCAAAATAAAAAGTAGAAAATAAACAACCATGTTATTCTACCCAATAATATGGTTCTAAGAACTAAATATCTCTATTTAAACAATGTCTTCAGCCTTAGGAAATTTAGTTCTAATAAATAAAAGAAGCATTCAGGCAAAATGCATTCATATGTATCTGCTTCTCATACACTTCATTTGAAATTTTCTAATTCTCTTTTTAGACCTGGACAAACTGCTATGTATATATGTATGCATCCAGATACCTATCTATAAATAGAAGTTTTAAAACCATTAAATAAATTTAAAACCCTTAAAATAGAAACAGGACTTCCCGATTCCATGAATAGCTGTTAATAATGTAAAATCAAATTTAACAGTGTTCATTCACTCAGTCACACACTAAGCTAAAGGCTGGCATGGAAAAATTTGCAGGTTGTTGCAGCTTTTAAAATTTAAATTGTATAACCTATTTAGCGCCTACCCTCTGGTTAGCTTGGGAGATATTAGATGGTCTGTGTGATGCAGTTGGAATCCAGATATTCTGAAATAGCATTTAATGGTTGAGAAGAGACAATCTTATTCCTCATCTTAATGATTCACCCTCCTGATCTCTCTGATCTGAATCGGTCTTGCTGAACATCGCAAGACCGTTTGCCCATTCTTTATCACAGACTCATATAGGCTTCCCCGGACCCCTCTGCCGCTGAAAACATTCCAGACATTCCTTAAAACAACGTTTCTCAAAAGGTTGGTTTCTTAGGATCCTGCAGGAGCTTTGCCTGCATGATTCACAGAGACCGCTGCGCACGCCTCTCATTAACACAGGGGCCAGATGGTGGAGGCGGCCTCTCTGCTCTGAAAGGCTTGCTTTACTCAACCTGGAGTCCATCAAGCTCGCCTTCAGAGGGGTAGATGAGGACACTGGGATTCTCGGTTTAAAAACACTCAGTCGGTGGGGCCGGGTTTCCAGCAGCACAGCGAAGCTACACATAGATTGTATATCTTGGTATGATGTGTGTTTCCTTTGGAAGGAGGCATTTAAATGAAGTTTCCTATAGCAAAGTCCTGGCCCCCCCATATCCGAGAGTCTCGAAGTTATTTTTAACAAATTCAAGAAATAGAAATTCTACACTGGAACGCTTATTCTCAACCTTTCTTATAAAAATAATTAAAGGACACAGCATTTCCCTCTTTTTCCTTATTAATGCTTCCAGTTCTGCTGCTTTCTCATCCCTCCCTCCTTCTTGCTTCCCTTTGCTCTCCTCATATACATCATTTGAAATTTTCTAATTCTCTTTTTAGATCTGGACAAACTGCTATCAAATATTTCAGGTTGAAGGTTTTTAAGGAGAAGACAAACTCCAGAAAACCTCTTCCATGTGACTAGATTCTTTCAGTTTCTTGCTGGTTGGAAGTTCACTAGCAACCTCAGGGAGTTGATTTGCCTAGAATTCTCTTTACCCTCCATCTGCCCAACTCAGCCCTGCTCTTGGTACCCATATTCCTTGATAAATATTGCCAAAACCAACATCTTTTTCAGAAACACAAAATGCTAGCAACAGGTCTCACACATAGTTCCACTCCATGAAACACAAATTCTTGGTCAAGTGTTATAGGCTGTAATGCCTCATCTAGAGCTGGGTGACCTGACCAGTGGATTCTGCCCTCAGACTCTATTCTTTCTCAGTGACCCATGAGATACTGAACAAATTAGTGGTGCTCTATATTCAGCATGTGACTAACTGCCAGTGAAATATAACTCAGAGCCCAGGGTACATCACAGAACAAGGAGATGATTAGAAGACAAGGGATCATTTCACATTCTAGATGTACAGTATGAAGCCAGTAGAGGAAAAGCTATTAGCTCCAGGGACACAAATTTCTCTCTTGTTTTTCCCTACATGAAACTGTGGGAGAGTGAGCACTGCAAGCATTGATACAATGGACGTTAATTGAGGAGTGCTTTCTCTTGCAGTATGTGCAGAAACTTTCACTTCCATGTTCTTTGTTGCCATAATAATTTTTTCATGCATTCAGTCAGAAGGTCTTCGACTTTGGAATCTGGCAGAATTATCAAATGTTAGCTCTGAAAGTGAGACAATTACCTAGACAAGTCTTGTAAGATGCCGTCACCTAAACATACCCCAGTAGATACTTAGGAGCAGGAAATGAAGCAGAGATAGCATTTTAAAAAAAAAAGTCATACTGACTTTTGAAAGAGTCACTGTGGAATGTTTACAGGATCCCATGGATGACTAAAATTAGTTTATTCTGCACGGCATAATCCACTGCTGACTCAAGATGGTGATACAGCAGTGTTAAGCTGTGAGCTCACCAGGAAGCTCATTCCCTAAAATTATTCTCTGGCAGGGAAAGACCCCAAGTTCACAACAGTGGATGGAAGATGGGCTATAAATAGCAACTAGTTATGCCATCACTTGCAAGCTGTGTTTTCTGCTTGTCCACAGTTCTCTATTTCTTGCAGTTTGAGAATCTCGTGATGAGTCTACTGGCTCTCAGTGCGACCGTGGGGTGTGTGTGTGTGTGTGTGTGTGTGTGTACACATCATTCTCTTAGTTATGTGATCACTAAGTTTTAGGTCCTATAGTTTTCATACATTTTAAAACCTCTAAACTTTGGCTGTTTCTCCTATAAGGCAACATGCAGGTCCTATGAGCTCTCTTAAGAGAAGCTGGTGGCTTGATTAGAAACATGTTGAGATGGGTGTAAGTAGAGAAGATGCAGTCATATGCTTTCAGGTTGGTTTCTCTGTTATGAATAGAAAAGATTTTCTGTCTATTTCAGGGCATGTTTATCGGAATAAAACTGCACTCACGCTACCTTAAGTTATTGTTTTGGTTGATTCAACTAAGCAGTCAATTCAATTAAAAAAATACAAATCAGCCATTTAACTAAATTGGCTAATCAATCAGTGAAAAAGTAGTTTCAGTATTGCTCTATCAACCCTTAACCTGCTGTGCTCTCTTTGTGGCTGATTTTATATTCGTTCTCATACATATTTTTTATAACAATCACTTCAGGACACAAATAGATATTCTTAAGCATGTGGTGGAGTCATTTTGGGTCTGTATCACTCTATTTCTCTGTCAATGCCCATTCGCTGCCACTGATAACTTTCCCCCATCTGTTTAATCCATTTTCTGTCTTATTAAGTACTGAAGTTATTTCTTCAGTGACAAAGCCCTCAAACTATGCATCAGTGATTTTCTATTTTTGAAGCTCTGGAATTTTCCTTGTTGGGACACTGAGTGCTTCATTTCTAATTAGGCTTTCCTTCTTACTCATATTTGGCTTTGCTTTATCAATAAATTACACAACCAATAATTGGGAACAGGATCCCAGAGTGTGCTGCATGCACAACTCCAAGGGACTTGTGGGAAAGGAGCATTCAGAGAGAAATGGAATTGGGGCTCCTGACAGCAAGACCGCTGTCCAGCTTGATAAAGTATTAGGACATTGTTAATTTTTAAGCAACAGCTGAACTCTTTTTTTTCAAAAAAGATTATTTATTCATACAAGAGCTGGGATGCAGACCAGAGATACAGGGGGTGAGAGGATTCACCAGAGACAGAGTGGGAAGCAGAACAGGCAGATTGACTGAAATACAGGGGAGCAGCGGGTGAGCCAGGAGAGGTCTGCAGTGCCCTGTGGGTCACCTCCCTGGCTGGGGATTGGCTGCATTGGCTGCGTATAGCTTCACAGTGCTGTGTCTTAACCCCTTGTACCACCAGGGAGGCCCCAACAGCTGAACTCTTAATCAGATTGGTAATATAGTTCTATTTTGTAGTCAAACAAAACATTTTAGTAGAAACCATTCCATTTTATCGGATATTTTCTTTAAAATAGACTTTGTCCCAAGAAGAGCTTTAGGAAGTGATTGGACCTGTTCTGTTGTAAAACCAGTAGTGAACAAATGTTCTGGAAGTATTTTCTAAGATCCTCTTTGAATGCCTCCATGAGATTTTTCCTGATCACCCCAGCTGGGAACCATGTTGCCATACTCTCAATTCCCATAGCACTCTGAGATAATTCACGTAAGGCATTTAACACTGAGCTTGATGCAAAGAAAGCAATCATTATTGTCCCTGTCTCTTTGTAGCCTGTATCACCTTCTGCTGGAGAGTCTGATGCATCATTTTATTCTCAGTGACTTGCACAGGTAAGCATTTATTGAATGAATAATAGTTCTTTTAAAATATCTTTCATCTTCAAACTGACATTCAACAGACAATAAGTGTCGGGACAATGAATGTTCAATAAATGAATTGAACAAAAAAAATCCATTGTAATTCTTGAAAGGTCACCAAAACCCGGCCTTTGTTTTCACAGAGTTACCTTTCTGAATCACCTGTTAGTGTCAAAGATGTTAACTAATTTTACTCCTGAGCCCAGTTCCTATTAATGTCATGCTGGTTATTTAAATAACGGCCAGCTAGCTTCATCATACTTCCCATATGTGGAGCAAAATCATTATGGTAATATTTACTGTCCATTTGCCTTTGTCAGTCTCTGCTCTGGGCATTTTACATATACTCACTATCTTCTCACTGCAATCTGCTTTAAAAATGAGACACCGAGGCACCATAAGGTTAGATCCCTTGTCTCCAGTCAGACTTGCCAGATACCAAAGTACAGCCAGAGCTGTGCTGGAGGTGCACACAAGTTTTGGGTTAAAGGCACATATATCCTTGCCTCCAGCAAAAAGCTAGATTAAGAGCAAATGCCAGAATCATTTCAACCAAGATGCCGCTGCAGGAGGTTTAATGTGTCTCTCAAACCTATATGAGCACTCAGCTGTCTTTTTTATCATGTAAGTGACCCAGAAAAAGAGGGCAAAGAGGGCCATAGTAGCTCTTTCCTGGTTTGTGAGCATAGAAAATATTTCTTTTGAGACTTGAACTAATCTTTGTAAGTCTCTGCCCTGAACCATCAGAAAGCACTGGCCTAACTCATCTAGTCCTAATGGGAGAACAGTATGTCCTGAATGAACTCCACCCACTAGTGTTTTATGGACTCCACCCCCACCTCCATGCCAGAGATCCCAGGCACTGAAAATTACAACTCCCATCATGCCATGAATATACCATGACTCTTGTCTTCCAGAGGAGGGGTTTGCTGGGAACTAAGGGGGAACTAAGCTGCCATGCTTATTATAAACTTGAGCAGGTGGAACTGGGAGGGGCTTGGTTTTGTCTGTTTTCAGCCTGCACCCAGGGTGCCAGCTCAGGCAGCACTACCAGTGGGACCTATTGACCAATAATTACTCTGTGTGTGTGTATACCCCCTCTTTTCATTTCCCTAGTAAATAAATCTATTAACCTTTCTGTGCCCTAGGGTCTTGTTCTGAGTTTTTTTTTAATAACTTTTTTTTAATATACTCTTTTAAAATTTTTTTTATTTATTTATACAAGCACTGGGGTATAGACCAGAAGTGCAGGAGGATGAGGGAATTCACCAGAGCCAGAGCAGGGAACAGAACAGGCAGATGGACCAAAGACACTGCTAAGGGGAGCAGCGGGCGAGACAGGAGAGGTCTGCTGCGCCACGTGGGTTGCTCCCTGGCCGGCCAGGAATTGAACCGGTGCTGCAGAGGCTGCAGACAGCTTTACAGCACTGTGCTCAACCTGCTGTGCCACCGGGGAGGCCCTGTTTGAGTTTTTTTAAGTATGTGGGTGAGGATTCACACCCAGGCCATCCCATTTTCCTCTGGGGTTGCCCGGTAACACTCACACGTTCCTTCCTATACTCTTATCTGTCCCAGTTCTTCCCTTGGCTTGGATATTTCCATTTCCCAACCCTCCTTCAGCTGCCTGGAACCTACAGATCATTCATGATGGAACTTCTTGCAGGAAGCCCTTGCTGACCATCCCAGGCAGGTATTGGATGCCTGCAAATCCCTGAGAATCCCCCCAACCCCCATCATGGCTTATTGATCCACACTGATTTACCTTTCTCTGCTCATCAAAGATAAAGAGGACCCTGTTTTACTCATTGTTATCCTGAGAGCCTAGCACCATTCCAGGCACAGAGCAGATGTCTAATAAATGTTTGCTGAATGAACAAATGAATGAATGCATGAAGTGTTCCCTTGCATGTCCATTCCACTCTCAAAGTAATATGTGACCAATAACAGAGAATATGCATCACCATATTTCCCAGACTGACTGGAAAGACACGGCCAAGAATAACAGGCAATATTTGTTATTTCTTTGTCTCTATATATCCCTCTGCAATCTAACCCAAGACCATAAGAGTACATAATCTTTGATTAGGACAAAAAGTAAGCCTGGAAAATTTGTGGCTGTAAAATACATTTCAAACAGCAATTTATTTTTCTCCTCTGTGGTCTTGTTGTATAAATTATGTGTGAGACAAATATGTGATAGAGATTCAGTGGTAATTACTTGTTCTCAAATGTTTGGTTAACCACGCCTTTTAATCCCACATACAGTAGCTTAGCACAGAATTAAATTCTGCCCTTTAGGCAGGATTAGCATTTAGATTTTCTTGTTCCTGTAGTTTAAATGTTTTTATCCCAATATTTCTACTTTTCCATTTAGAATAAATGCACAGAGTGTGTTGGGGCAAATATAAATAGCATGGAATTTTTGGCATTCAACTCATCATCTTCATTGGTTGTGGTCAATATTTATGGATACCAATTTTTTAAAAATTATTTATCTGTAATTAGTTACAGGAACATAGAAAGTATTCCTAGACCTCTCTCTCCTAATGAATCTAAGTGTCCTCTCTTAGCCAATAACCTAAGTATTTAGTTTTATAAAGGAAAAAACTTTCAGCTTTCATTATCTAAAGAAATTTCATGGAATAATGTTAAATGTGACATAAACTGGGAGAAATTTTTTTTCCTGCTGCCGTAGATAGCAGGAATGGGGGAGGAAAGGTTTATCTATTAACTGGGGATTATCTTTAGTCCCTATCAGTGATAATATTGATTTAGTCATTTAACATCCATTAATATTCATCATGTGCCTAGCATGTTCCAGATTCTGCTTTTTACTCGTGATGTAAAAAGAACTAATGGTCTCTGTTCTCAGAGAGCTTGAGATGGGATAAGAAATGGTTGTATAAACAATTGTAATCAAACAAGACAAGTATAAGTGAAAACCTATACAAAGAGGAGCAAGGCTTTTGGAGAACATGGGCTGCCTGGGGAAGTCAGGAATATGAACTCACAGATGAGAAAGAACCTAGCTGAGACAGGCAGAAACAGGAGTTTTCTAGGCAGCAGTCAGGGACATGACTGACAAGGAAAGGCATTCTGTACATAGTGATGTGAAAAATGCATCATTGGAATCTTTAGGGCTTTATGAACAGGAACGTGGCCTGTGACCCACCTCACAATTCACAGTGCAACCCCACAGTGAGGCCCAGTAGGGAAGACTTTAGGAATGGCAGTGGGGTAGGGAGTGGGAGAGAGAGAGTTTACTCTGGCAGCCTGCCACCTGCACACCATGAGGAAGCTGCCTCAGGGTTCAGGTAAAAGGAGAAGAGGTCAAATCAGGAATAAATGTGGTCGGATCAGGATGTGAAAGATGATGAGGAAGCACAGGTGACTGACCAGGCCAGACATAGGGCCTTTTCTGTGTTAGAAGTCACAAATCTGGCTTGACTCAAGTTTCCACTGTAACCATGGCCACCTACACCCCACTCCCCTTGAAATTTAGGTTGAATCTTTCACTCAAATTAATTTGAAAGGAGAAAGGTGAATTTAGTCCAACATTAGAAAATTTTGATGGCATTAAAAAGGACATTTCAAATTGGATTGCCCTTGTGCGGACAGATAATTTGCCTGTGTTATTCCATTAAATAATTGCATCTAACTCTAGCACTTTCAACAAAAAATAAACTGAGTTTTACTCATGCTTCCTCATCAGCATTCCCCCATAAATACCAGCTTTAACTTCCTATTTTTTTTTAAAATCACTCATTCATTCATTTTTTTTAATATATATTTTTTTAATATTTATTTTTATTTATGCATACAAGAACTGGGGTAAAGGCCAGAGGTGTGGGATGTGAGAGGATTCACCAGAGACAGAGTGGGGAACAGAGCAGGCCGATTGGCTGAAATACACTGCTGAGGGGAGCAGTGGGCCAGACAGGAGAGGTCTGCTGTGCCATGTGGGTAGCTCCCTGGCTGGCCGGGGATAGAACTCGTGCTGCAGAGGCTGCAGATTGCTTCGTAAGTTGTGTCTTAACCCTTGGCACTACCAGGGAGGCCCTCATTCATTCATTTTAAACTGAGGTAATATTGGGGTGTCCCCATCAGGTATTACCACCATACTGTATTCACCATCAACTAGCACAGACTCCACCACTACAGACCATTGTGCCTCATCCCTGCCTATTCTTTCCCCTCCCCTCTTGGTGTCTCATTTTTTAATCAGCTGTCAATGGTTAATTTTTCAACATCTTTATCTGACTATTAAATTAGTTACTTTATATTCCACATATCTTATATTTCACATGGTGACAGCAGACAATGTAAATCTTGGATGTCAGATCTATTTTTCTAGTAGCATATATCTTCTATTTAATTGCACATTGACATTTTTCTGTGCTACGTCCATATAAATACCTGTTTTCATAGCTCTTCAGAATTTCAGGAATGAAATCCTGTTTCATTCCTGTTAACCTACTACTGTCCCCCCATTCTGCCATCAAGGTGCTTATTTTGTGCCTCAGCTCAGTGCATTTTCCTATCTAAATTTCTCCATTTTAGAAATCCAGAACCTCTAAACAATCTGGCTTAAAATTAAATTTCTGAGAAATTTAATCATTATTGCAATTGCTTCTTTGGTTCTTGGAGCTTGAGTCCTTAAAAGTAGAACTTTTTCTATCAGGTTATGTTAACGGGCAGGGTGAGGAGTACCCCAGAACCCACAAACCTACTCACTTTATCTAGGTTTTGCCCTCCACCACATCAAGACATAATACCATCTAGTGCATAAGACCTTTAATGGAAAGGAATTTTAAAGCAATTGGTGTGCAATAAAGAAAAGGAAAAGAAGGATAAAATAGTTTCCACACAAAACTCCCAGTTACCCATCCCCTTGTGGGTAAATGCCCAACCAAGCAGAGTTGGCCCAAAGCAGGGCCACTGAGGCCCAAAAGCCTGCCATGACTCTAAAGTAACTTCTGGTGGGGACCAGTAGGAAAATGGCAGAAGGGGCCAGACAAGTCTGGAAAGAAAAGAGGAAAATCAAAACCAAGATAAACACTGCCATTGTTAACCTCCCCACGGGTCTCTCATCCACATCTGTTTCAAGTGTCTCCTTCCATGTCCCCCAAGTTCCTGGTACAAGTCCAAGCCGAGAAGCAAGCACAGCTTCTTCACATGTCTCTCTGCTCCATGTGTCTGCCAGATCTCCTTGCCCTTCATCCTTCTCCCTTCTTTCTTCCAGTCTCCTCTTCAGTTTCTCCTCCTCCTACTCAACTGCACCCTTCCTTGGGTGGGGCAGGGAACCTGGAACCTCTCCTTTCCCTGGGGACCACTCAATTACAATTTGAGAAAGGTGGTGAAAGCAAGGTCGGAGAAAGGCAGTGTGAGTAGGATCCAGTGCTCTGTAGATGTTTTTTAGTCCTTAGGCTCTACATCCAGCGACCAGTGGGAGGATTCTAGGAGCAGAGGGTCCTCAGCTAATAGCCTGAAAGGAAACACAGACCTCTTTCCTACAACCACATGGAACAGGATTCTGCCAGCACTGGAATAAGCAAGAGACTCTCTCCAAAGGACACATGGATTTAGTCTGAGACCTATATCGGATTTCTGACCTATAGAAACATAAGGTAATAAATTTGTGTTGTTTTAGATATTTAGATATTTGTTAATTTGTTAATATTTAGATATTTGTTAATGGCAGGAATACAAAACAAACAATATGATGTCACTTAGATGAGATGGTTTTTCAGTGAGCAGGGTCCTGGGGTTATCTTTGAGAAATTTCCCCAGAGTTCCCCTTTCAGCAGCATAGTTGAGTTTACCATTTGTGAAGACACATCTCGAGTGGCGGTTACATTTTAAAAGGACAGGTTTATTACGAAAAGAGAAAGAAAAAAAGAGAGACAACTGCATAAACACAAGATGGGTGGTCTTGGGAGGAGAGCTGCATTTTGCCAGTGTAGAAATTGCATGAATTTAGTGTTCTTTGGGGAGAGGTTCATTCCTTTGAATTGCCTATTGGCAAATTAATTGCTTTTAGGGTGTGGCTAGGTTGATTTTTAAGGACTGGTGATTTTTAAGGACTGGTGATTCTAATAAGGGTCCTCAGTCTGCATATCTCCATTTCTGACCTATAGAAATATAAGGTAATAAATTTGTGTTGTTTCACTCTACAATTCCCTATAGAATTGTAGATCTATGTTAGTGGGTGTTTTCTATAGTAGTCTTGAAATGACTGACAAGCCCCATATCCCCATTTTCTGGCAAGTCTTGACGATTTTTCATTTCTATGGCTGGTTTAATGATGTCAGCATCTCTTCCCCGCACCTCCAGTTTTACTCTATGCTCCCATCACAAGTGGCCATAACTAGTAAGCTATAGCCAAATAGAAACTTATATGCAGGTAATCTAACTCCAGGGTGAGTGTAGGGCTAATGATAATGGTAGGAATACATAACAAACAATAGGATGTCACTTGGATGAGATGGTTTCAGCACAAGTTTGAGCCCTGGCTGGCCAAGGAGCTACCCACATGGCACAGCAGACCTCTGTCTCGCCCACTGCTCCCCTCAGCAGTGTATTTCAGTCAATCTGCCTGTTCTATTCCCCACTCTGTCTCTGGTAAATCCTCTTACCCTCACCTGTGAAACCATTCAGAATTTTCTCTTATCTGATGTCTTATTTGTTACTTTCAGAAAATCTCATTTTTGACTGGACTCAGACTCAGATGTGGAAGTTCTCAAAGAAGACAGCCTCTAACTCTCTGCAATCTGTTCCTGGTGTTTTTCTTTGGTTTCCTTCAATTTTTGGCTAAAAGTTTAGCATACTCTGCTACCTCTTCCTTGTTTCTTCAGACCAACAAACAGATGTCTGCATTGCAAACATGGCTTAAGACACTGAGTCTTGGATGCTTTGGTCCTGGGTTTCTTATTTGTCTTTGTTTAGGGGCTTTCTCACAATATACTGGCAGACATCATCTTTTTTTAAAAAATTAATTAATTTATTTTTTAAAGATTATTTATGCAGACAAGAACTGGGGTGTAAGCCAGAGGTGTGTGGGCAGGGGTGATGTGAGAGGAGTCACCAGAGAGAGTGGGGAATAGAACAGGCAGACTGACTGAAATACACTGCTGAGGGGAGCAGTGGGTGAGGCACAAGAGGTCTGCTGGTGAGGCAGCAAGATGGTGCTACAGCTGTAGCCATGTGGGTAGCTCCCTGGCCAGCTGGGTCTCAAACTCATGCGTGCTACAGTGGCTGGAGATAGCCTGATAGCACTGTCTATAACCCCTGCGCCACCAGGGAGGCTCGACATCATCTTCTTTAGAGAGACTGAAAACTGCAGATTCTGCTAGCTCTTTTTGGGCTGTAGCAACAAAGCACAGTAGCATTTTCTTTTCTTTATTAATTTTTTTAATTTTTTACATAATTGTTCATTTTAAAACAATATTTGCTTCCCCCTACCCTCTCAGGTGTAGTCCTCATAGTTTCCTTCACCAATGCACCATCACCACAGTCCCCTGTGCTCCTCCCTCCCACCCTCTGATCCCTCTCCCTCCTCCTCCCCTGCACTATGTCTCTGGTTTATAATTGTCCATTTTTGCTTTGTTGTGTTTTATACTGTTATTATTTTTTTACACTGATGTCTTAATTGGTTCCCCTATATTCCTGCTATAAGTGAAACCATCTGATATTTTTCTTTTTCCTTCTGAAAGCCCAGTAGTATTGATGGAGATTAAGAGTAGAAAATTTGGAAAGGAGTCACCACAGGACCAGAAACCTGGCTCATGCAAGTCGAAAAGCTGGAGGTGGGAGTAGAAGTGATTACCATAATCGTTAGATCAGCTATAGAAATGAAAAATCCTTAGTGGCCAAATGCTATAGCGTCAGATTGTTATTGAAAGTATCACTAGGCACAGACCAGAGGTGGGGATATGGAGATTGAGGGCCTTTATAGAAAATCACTAGTCCTTGCAAATCAACCTAATCACACCCTGGAAGAAATTAGGTTAACAAAAGTTAACACCTCTACAAAAGAATGAGCCCCTCCCAAAGAGAAGTAGATTACATCAGTGCAGTTTCTGCACAAGCAAGGCACTGCAGCTGTCCTGCCTACGTGGGCTTCTGCAGACTTCTCTTAGCAAACCTGTCTCTTAGGGACATTCTGCCTGCTGGGTCTATGCAAGTGCCCTTTATTCTTCTCTCCCTTTTTATTTATAATAAACCTGCCTTTTGGCTATAACTAATGCCTCTGTCTTGTGGAGTAACTCGCTGCATGTCATTGAAAGGGGAGCACTGGTGAAACTTCCCAGAATTAACCCAAGGACCCCGCTCTCCGAACCCAATACCTTTCCAAAACCGACTTTAGTATCAGTAAGTCCAGGAATATCCTCCTTCACTTTTTTACCAATACTGACTTGGGAACACTCAGATAGGCATCTATAATTCAACCCTGGACAGATTTGCATTTTCTTCCACCACTCCCCTTGGTCTCTAAGAGGAATGCTCCTTAATCAGTAGCAGGTGAACCCAGTCATAGGTGAAGCTACCCTGCTTCATGGGGAAAACTTGTTGGTCATTTCCACCATTTGTTTGTACTACAGAACCCTTCCAATCTTCACCCAGAGCATCAGCTGCCACTTTTTTTTTAAAAATTTATTTATTTATACAAGCACTGGGTACAGTCAGAAGTGCCGGGAGGGTGAGAATTCGCCAGAGCCAATGCTGAGAGCAGAACAGGCAGACTGACGAAGTACACTGCTGAGGGGAGCAGTGGGCGGCAGGAGAGGTCTGCGCGTCATATGGGACCCTCGCCAGCGGCTGGAGATCGAACCGGCGCTGCAGAGGCTGCAGGCAGCTTCGCAGCCCAGCACTCAACTGCTGCGCCACCTGGGAGACCCTCAGCCACCACTTTTATGGCCACATTCTTCTCTTAAAGGGGGGTGCAATTGTATGGGGAATATTAAAAAAAAAGGTACAAAGTTTGCATTCGTTTTGTCCACGTCAGTAAGTTTTTAGCAACCAGTGGCTGGGTAAGAGAAGTTCAGTTTCATCTTGAAGCAGCTGATGTTTTTGAGCCATCACCTTTGAAGCTGGTTTTGGAGATGCTGGAAAGGTTTAACCAGTCCACCGCTTTCAGTGGCACACAGCGAGCTTCCCAGGTGAGTTTCCCCATGAGACAGAGACCTTAGTTATCCGAAAGGGCAGGTTTATTATGAAAAAGGACACTTGCGTAGACACAAGTGGGCAGAAAGAGCTGCCCCTGAAAGGGACAGGTTTGCTAAAAGAGGTCTGCATGGTCCCAGGCCGGCAGCCTTGGGAGGAGAGCTGCCTTTTCTGCTTTGCAAAGGGAGGTCAGTGAAGAGAAGCACTGACATGGTCACAAGTCACAGGCTGCTCCCGCTCTACAAAAGGACAAGATTGGCAAAGAGAGACACCTGTATATTTACAGAGGTCCAGACAGAAGGGCTGCTGCCCCTTGTAGTAGTTGTACTGTTATAGTCTTCATCTCTTTGGGAAGGGCTCATTCCCTTGTGGAGCTGTTCACTTTTGTTAATTTTGAGTAACTATGTAGAATTTGAAAAGGACCAGAGATTCTCTATAATGGCTCTCAATCTCCATTCCCCCACTTCTGGTCTGCGCCTCCTGATACTTCCAATTGTAACAGGGTGGTCCCCAGGGAAAAGGGAGGTTCCAGGTTCCCTGCCCCACCCAAGGGTGGGTGGAGCTGAGCTGGGAGGAGAAGCTGTAGGAAGAAAGCAGGATGGCGAGCAAGGAGACCTGGAGGAGGCTCATAGAGCAGAGAGACATATGAAGCTGCCCTTGGTTTTTGGTTTTGGACTGGTTCAAACAGACGTGGGTGAGAGACCTGTGGGGAGGGTAACAGTGGCAGTTTTTATCTTGAATTTGATTTTGCTCTTTTTCTCCCAGACTTGTCTGGCTGTTTCTAATACTTTTCTATGGGTCCCTGCTGGAAGGTACTTTAGACTTGTTGTGGGCTTTTGGGCCTTGCTCTGGGCCATTTCTGTATGGCTGGACTTTTGGGTAACTTTGGGTGCTTGATTTGAAAATTATATTCTTTGTCTTTTCTGTGTTGCTCACTAATTGTATTAAAGTTCCTTCCATTGTGCTCGCTTCGGCAGCACATATACTAAAGTTCCTTTCCATTAAATGTCTGTATGTTTTGTCTTGATGAGGCAAATGGCAGAACCTATTTAGAGCAGGTAGGTTTGGGGGTTCTGGGGTGCCCCTCTCCCTGAGTAACACTATAGCGGTCTGATACTTGCTATATAGCAGTTGGCAGTAAGAATTTTTCATTTCTATAGCTGGTTAATAATTATGGTAATCACTTCTGTCCCCACCTCCAGCTCTGGGCCTTGCATGAACCAAGTTTCTGGTCTTGTGGTGCCTCCTTTCCAACTTTTCTACTCTTATTCTCCATCTACCAATAAATCTAGATTTATTTAACTAGTTCATATTGATGGGCATTTTAGATTGCTTGCAATTTGTAGTATTTCAGACATCAGGACAGTAGATTTCCTCATCTTCATGTTCAAATGCTTTAGTTAAGATTCTATAGGAAAATTTCCTAAAAGTGAATTTATTGGGTCAAATGATAATCATATTAACATTTTTATAAATACTGCCCAGTTGCCTTGCAAAGTGTTTCCAGTGCAGCTCTTAGACTAGAACTTAAAGCTGCAGGGAAAGAATGAACCAATAGTGTGGACAGATGTGGCTCAAAGGTGACCATTTCAGCAAACAGAACGGAAGGCACCACATGACTGAAAATGCCTTTTTCCTTCATTTTAACTAAAGAACCTATAATTTCCACAAGAGTCCTTCTGGCTGTGTCTTTTCACCATGCTTTGCAAATAAACTCAGTTTTTTGTGTTTTCACTTCTGTGTCTTACATTTTGACCTTGAAGCAATAAAGACTGACAAAAATAAATAGCCTTTTCAGTAAGTATCCCTTGTGCTACACATCCATTCTAAAATGGTGCTACTTCAACTAAGGCTAGAATTTCCCATATGTGCAATTAAATACTATAAAATACTAATAGCATTTCATTAATTTTGAATGATATACTTCCCAGCAGGACCCTGGAACCCAACCCTTGGAAGAAATCACTGATTAAAATTAACATAGCAATCAGCTAAAGTGCATGGGTTCTTGGCATTTTGTGGAGTCACTAAACCAGGCCTCATGAAGATATAATGGCCAGTTCCTCACATCAGAATAAAATTCTTCACTTTATGGGATCTCAGGCTTGAAAGACAAGGAGTCTTACTTGCTAGAAGTAACCTTTGCTTTCTTAACTCCCTGCTGTATCTGAAAAGTGGTTTCTTTCACTCTTGGCTAGCACTAATGCTTTTGTTGCGCTTATAAATATGATAGCATCCTTTTTTTTTTTTTTACCCCATTCTCATTTGTTTTGAAACTTCTTTTTCTTATTCTAGTGCCTTAGAGATTTTGATTTTCTCCTGAGGCTGTATTTTTTTCATCTTTAGAGTTGTGAAACCTTTTGACTCAATTACTATGCTTGTTTATTGGCCTTCTGCTCAAATGCTAGATGCTGGGACATTGTAATAAACATTCTTTTAGTTGTGAAATGGAAAAATGTCTAACTAATGACGTTTGTTTGTTTGTTTTTGTTTTATTTTCCCTAGAAAACCTGAAAGGAAAATGAGTTTTGATAAATTTTAGAATATTAAATAATAGCACTCCCTATTTATCATTTACAGATGGGGAAAAAGCATTTACCATATGCTTGATGCTGTTTTTTTAATGTTTTAACTTAAAGTCCTCTACGCCATTCTTTGAAATAATGCTATTATTATTCCCATTCCACTACTGAGGAAATCAAGGCTCTCGCTTAACGCTACCTAGTAGGAAACGATAAACAGAGGCTTGAGATTCAAACACAGGCTTGTTTGACTGGCCTGTACTCATAACCACTATACC